TGTTATAAAAGCCATCCACTAAATTGTGTATTAATTGATTAGCTGACTCGTTTGACTTGATCCACTTTCCACAGAGAGTATACAGTATGACCTGACCTTGCTCTCCTCATTCCAGAGAGCTGTAAGAACAAAATGGGCTCTAACAACAATTTCTCGTGCTTTCCACTTTCCCAAATGTGCAGCAGTTAGAATTACGAAGGCAGTGCTGAAGGCAGTTTGCCAAAAATGGTTTGTCTGTCCTTTGTCTGGAGTTAATAATTCATTGAAATCCATTCTGTGTGCAATCCTGTTAACCGAGAGAAAGAGCTACAAACCAGAAAGACTCTGCAGACAATTTCTGCACTGCAGTTATAATCTACTGTTGAAGTGACAAAATGTGAAGAAAAGGTCAGAACAGAAATAAAGCAGGCATGTGTATCTAATGGGTGATGACCTACAATAAATGGCAAATTTTCTTCTGAGTCCTTCAGTTGCTTCATTTGTGGACTGTTACACTGAAGGACAAAAACAGGGAAATGTAATGAAAATATAAATATGACATTAAATAAATAAGTAATAGATAATCTCAATCTTTAGAAAGAAATAATATAAATATTTTATATAATTAACATTTATTTATGTATTTATTTTTTATTATTTATTTATAGAAAAGTATGTATTTTGGTATCTATCTATCTATCTATCTATCTATCTATCTATCTATACCTACGTACTTTCAAGTATGCATTAATGACAGTATACCTGTCTTGTGTTTTTTGGAGTACAGGTATTTTTTGTTGTTCTTATTAATTTTTGGAATTTACTTATTTATGTATGAGCCTAGACAGTTTCTTGAGGGAGAATGTTCTACATCTAAAGAGCATGCAGAAGACTCTTTCTTCTTATTATTCATTCTTGGTGCTGTGCACTGCTAGTAATGACTTCACAGCTCAGATGCAACTGGTTGGTGGGGCCTTCATGCCGGAACAGGTGCAGCATGTTTCTTCTGCTTTTATGGTGCCAGAAATTTTCATCTTTAAGGAAGTGATTATTTATTCAGTTCATTTAGACAGATGATACAAGGTGAATTAGAATGCTGGCCTCAGCTGACCTGGCATGTCCCGCACGTATAACTGTGTGTTTTAGCAGCAGTAGATTTCTCTCTTATACCATTCTTGCTACATATACTATTCTAATGTGGCAGTTTAATGAACGTATATCACCCTTGTGTATTTTTGGAGAAATAACAAGAGAAGTACTGTACTGTGTAAAAGTCATAGACCACCCTTTGTTTATTTAATTCCTGAGTCGGAATTTTGAATTGTAAGAAGTAACCAACTTCTTAGACTGAACTTTGGAGGTGTAAAAAAAATCGGTAACACTTTCTATGAATGTCACATTTGTAAGCATTTATAAACACATTTATAACATGTTATAATACATTCATAAGGCATTATAAGCATGGTGATAAACATTTATAAAAAAGAATTACACTGAATTACACTTTATAGCTATGTTTAATATACATTATGAATTGTTAATATAATGCATTATAAGTGGTGTTAATAACATGTTCTAATTTCAGTGCCAAAGAAGTCAGTCCCAGCTTGGAGAGCCTAAAGTAAAGACAAATACCAAGCTAACGGTGGTGTACATTACCTTTCCCACATTGGGTAAAACACTGATGGCAGCTCTAGTTTAAACTCTGACATCTGAAGCTTGTAATGTGCTTTATTATGTATGTTTTACTGTTTCAGTAAATCCTTCAGTAAATACTTCAACTTGAAGCCTCACTCTTAACACTGGAGGAGGCGTTAGTACAGTACGCTTCACTTTACTTAGAGCGGACAAATACGACTTATGAGCTCTTATACTTTATGATCAGTACTTATAATGTATTATGTTAACAATTCATAATGCATAATAAACATGTCTATAACATATAATGCGTTTTTATAAATATTTATAGCTATGTTTATAATATCTTATGAATGCATTATAACATGTTATGAATGTGTTTATAGATGTTTACAAAGGTGACATTCATGGAAAGTGTTACCAAAAAATCTCTTTGAAAAACTGAAAGTGAGTCTCCTGAAAAGAATGGAAGCTGTAATAAAGGTAAAGTGTGAACACACTAAGTAAATGGAAAATGATATTTATTTATTGAGGCTTCTGTGTAATTTTCTGTTAAAAATATGTTAACATAATATATTTATGCTATAAATAACTTGTACTTCAAGGTCATTTTCAATTTATGCGAAATAAATGAAGGGTGATCTCTGACTACTTGGTGTTGATACCATTATGATTTTAGTGTGTCTTGGCTGAGTACTGCTGTATACAATTTTTAGCCAAATAAGTCAAATTCTGAAATCCAGGTCAAATATAATCAGGAGCTCAATCATGCTGATTTAGTGATTTTGCAGACTGCCAAATCTTATCTGTTAAATGCGATGGGCAGGGGAGATTAAGAGGGTTCAGGAGGGTTTTATAGCTGCTGATAAGATTTACAGGCTCTTTGTCAGATTTGAACTTTGTGAGCCAACGGGTCTTGGCTGCTCGGTGATAATGGAATACCTTTGTTACTTCATGCTCTCTGAGAAGGCCAGAGATGATGAGTGGGAAATATAGAAACTGTTATGTAAAAGATGAATAGCAGATCATTCATGGCTTCACGGATAATGTACTGTGCTTGTAGAGGTTTAGTTATGGACTATGATTGCTGTGCTCAGTGATATGATACTGCCTGACGTTTCAGTGACAAATAATGAATCCAGTGCAGTTTTAAGATGACTATACAAGACACAAAACAAGTAGGGAGAACAAAAAATGTACAAAAGATGCCATACAAGTTGTCATTTGATTAGTTTTGTATAAAAAATAAAATAATAATAATAATAATGATGATGATTCATTGATTAGACTTCATTATTAGACTTCAGTTTATAAGGCCTAATTACATTTACTGAGTATACCGTGGTATGCAAAAGTTTGGTAACACCTTCTGAGAACATACACATTTCTGACACATTTTATATTTTGTGTTTTATTTCCAGTATATAAAATTAAGCAAATACATAGAAATTGTGCAGTAAAACTAGTAGAAAATACTACTACTAATAATAATAATAATATTTAAGTTTGTTCTCTGGAGAGCAAATTTGACTGAGGGTGTTCAAAGTTTTGCATATGACTGTATAACCCTTTTTTTGTTTATATGTACTTTAAAATTTTACATTTTTATATTTTTTAAAGTGGGCTCACCTCTGTACCTGTAACTTTGCCTACACGCTATGTGTGATTATTGCAATCATGTCACGTTGACACACTACTGCAAATCCGAAGGGCAGATGTCTAGATAAGGTGCCCTGCTATTAAATAGAGCTGTGACTGCAAGACGTATAAGCTGCTAAACATCACTCTGGAACTACAGAAATGTCCCATAACGCTGAGCATGTGCCAATTAACTGACCATGCCTTTCCAGTTGAGTAGCACGCCTTTTGAATGGTAAATGCTCTTGGTAAAGTTTGGTTATGCATTGGCACAATCATCAAAGCAGACATCAGGCTATTGCCATTATCTTGTGGTTGAGTTGAACTATGAACGCTGCCATTCAAACCAACAGTATCAGTCAGTCAAGGTAAATCATCTCCAGAGGTGACCTTGGAAAATCTTCAGAGCCCAGTATGAATTCAGTACCACACGTTCAAGTTCATTTGTGTTTATTTAGAGTTGTCTTAAAAAGCAATAATATTACAAATTTAAATATATAACTATGTATACTAAAGGCCCCCATTGCCACCTCACATATATCTCAAACAAATTTTAACAGTGGTTTACTACAGTCTCATATATTTATCTTTGGCCAGTAAACTAGAAAAAAATACAATGAGAAACTAGAAAAAAGAAAAATAATTTTACATCAGAAATATCTAGTACCTGAAATTCTTATGCTATTAACAGAAAATACAGACTCACAAGTACAATATATAGGAATCCACCTTATCATCATACAGTTGTTTCTACAGCAACAAGCAAAGTGCATAATTGGACAGTGATCTCACAGTAGATAAAGCAGTTTCACACACCAAAGCATAAAATGTCTTCAATTCTCCAACGTTGAGTGACAGAACCAGCAAATGTCAGATGTCAAGTTAAACTGTGTCATAATCTCATGTACAATACTGTGCAAAAGTCAGAGACCACTCTCATTTATTGAAAAAGAGCAGAAAATGAATATTTAAGAGAATATTATGCCTCAACAACTAAATATAACATTTTTAGTGTGTATATTTTTACTTTCATTACAGCTTCCATTTTTTTTTCAGGAGACTTGTTAGCAGTTTTTCAAAGTAAAGATGATTTTCCACAAAGTTCGGTCTTAGAAGTTGGTTGCATTTTCTAATCCAAGTAATCCCAAACACATTCAGTGATGTTGAAGCCTGGACTCTGGGGTGGTCAGTCCTTTGTTCTTAGAACACCAGCAGCTTCTTTGTTTGATTTGCAAATTTGTCTATATCCTTTTCTCAGTAACAGCTTCTTGACGACTACACAGCCTTTACAGAAAGGTCATATGAATTTCACATAAATAAATGAATATTTTCATTAACATATTTTGCACACTTCACATCTTAAAAATGTGTTATCATGTGAAAACTTCACATGTGAAAAATGTGTGATTACTTGTACACGTGATTTTTGCCACTTCACATGTGAAATATATGTGACTTTTCTATAAGAGATCTGAAGCAAGAGTGGAGCTTGTTCTTCTCCTCTCTCTCAAAGATGAAAGCTTTAAGTTCTTTTTATCTGATGGGCCGGTTTTGGTGGTCTACCAGTCATTGCAATCCCCTGTTTTTTTCACTTGACTCTCTCCTTTCTTATGCAGGCAGATTATCTTCTATCTAACCTCTTCAGAAATATCTCCATTGGCTTTGACTGGAAATGAAATAATTGAAGGGTGGTGTCACTTTTTCCACAGTACTGTTTTTTCTGTGTTCTTTAATAACCATGTTGATTTAACAACATGAACTTCAAACAACTTATGTGTGAACTCACCGGGTGATCCAACACGCCAGTCATATTTCTCTTACCAAATTGCCAGGGCAAAAGGACTGGACATCATCAGCTTCTCCACCACGTTCACTAGATTTTCTATTCCTTTGTGTGCATTTATCTGTTCGAATTGGAAGGTGCTTTCTAAACTGTGAAACACAGAGGCAAGACCTACATGAAACTAACCATCACACCTCAAAACAGCATCTCTAGACGCCTATCTTGTCCTCGAAAAAGGACAGCAACAATAGAATGCCCCAGCCGGTCAGCAGCCCCAAGTTCTGCAGCGCAAACATCAGCCATGGCCTCTTGCTGTCTGCATGGATCATGGAGGGGAGCTACAGATGAGATGAGAGAGAGATATAGTGGTATTTAGTGTCATTGGCTTATATTGTACAATTTAAAGATTCCTAAAAGGTCATCGGCTTCCATGTATGTTCCTTGGAAAAACTTTGTGTACAGAACCTTTACATTATACTGGGTGGTCATTACCATTACCATTACCATTAAAGAACCATCAATTGAAAGTTTCCTTATGAAGCCAAAACTGGCTCTTCTTTGAATTTTCCATGGCTTTTCTTGTATGTTTGTTCTTGAGGTCCAATACACATTATCTAAGCTGCTTACCCTCCAGGGCTGCTGGAGTCTACCCCAGTGGCCATTGGGTGGAAGGCAGAAAACACCCTGGATAGGTCACCAGTCCATTACAGGGCAGGCACATAAACATATACATTCCTAGGGACAATTTAGAATCTACAGTTTGCCTGACTGTGTGTGTTTGGACTGTGGGAGGAAACTTGAGCACCTGGAGGAAACCCACACAAACATGGGGAGAAAATGCTCCACATAGAAAGGATCCTGGTCGCCCAGGCGGGGGATTGAACCCAGGCCCTTCTTGCTGTGAACTGACAGTGCTACCCACTGTGCCGTACCATAAGCAATTGTAATTTTTTTCATGACCATTTTCCAACTTTTCTCTATCCGTTAAAATTAAACAGGCTGTTTTTGTTACTGTGCTTTTAAGTCCAGGCATTAATGGAAGTATATTACACACTGATGCAATGCTGGATAGGATGATTCCAGTTGCACTGGCTCCTTCCTAAAGGAACCTTTTAGAGAATATGGCACATTATGTCTGAAGAGGAAAGTCTCACATACCATATCTGCAAGCCCCACATAGAGGAACAGGCCAGTGGTCACTGCTGCTATCCACTCTTTGGCTACAGTATCTGTGGAGACTGAAAGTGCGATGTAGAGTCCGATAAAGGAGGTAAGAGCGCTCCCAACGTTCAGCAGCAGAGCCTTCTTCACCGATACTCCACAGTGCAGCAGCACAGCGAAATCACCTGGAGAGAATATTGTGAGAACATTGTGAGCGTCTCTGGAAATGGATTCTAAAGTGGCACTGAGACCACAGGACTCTTAAAAATAAAAGTATGTGAATGGATCTTGGCTTGGTGTAGAGTTCTAGGTAAAATGTTTCTTTAAAAGGTGCTTCATTTTTACGTATCTCACTTATAAAACTGTTCTTCAGAGGAATTAAAGTGGTTCTTGTATGGCATCGCTCCAGAGGCGGCTTTATGGCACCTTTATTTTTACAAGCGTGGGTGCAACATTGTCATTCTTTTTCAGCCTGAATAAATTCCTTTATTTAGACTCATGACTGGCTTGTGATTAATTCACACATACATGGTGCAGATTGGAATCTGAGTTTTTCATGTGGATAGCCATCAGAACTTTCATTAAGATCTACAGACATTGGGCTAGTTTAAGTTTAGGTTCAAGAGATTTATTGTGATATAGTTCAGGGGTTCTTAATCCCAGTCCTAGTGACCCCCCATGCATATTCTAGAGTGACCAGGGTTTGAAATAATATTAAAATTGAAAGAAGCGAGGAGAGGGTCAGATATGCATTATGTGGAAGTGCTAGCTGACCTAAACTAAAGTCTCTGTTATGATCTCATGCAGTCATATACCCACAATGCAAATTATGGATTTGTCATTTGTTTGCTGAACACAGGTTAATGTGTTACCAGTGAACATAAGGGAGATTTGGTGGAGCTGTTTTGTGCGGCCTTTGTGTTCATTTTTTTTAATCTGAGGGAAAAAGGGAAAAAGGGAAAATGCTCAAAGGATCTTTTCACCCTTGTCCCAAATACTTCAGTCTGCACTGCTTTCCTTGAAAACGAACACTCAAGAACAGTGCTTTTTGGATACATGACATCATAACGAAATTTGAAAAGGGAAGTGACATGATAAGTCAAAGCTCATAAACAGCTTCCACACTTGGCCAAATGTACCAAACTCACAAAGCAAGCGGTCTTGGGTTTAGAAAAAACTCATATCAAAATTCTTTTCACATCACAACAAGGGATAAAATGCATGGTCTTAGCCATTATTTCCAAGGTTCCGTTTGTGTGAGTTGTTCCTAACCGATGAGGAGAACAGCTTCACTTATTCCAAGTGTCCAAGTGTAATCCTGGACATGCTTTTTCTTACCCAGCTCATGCGGCAGTTCGTGGCACAGCACAGCCAGAGACGTGGCCAGTCCTGATCGCCAGGACAGTGAGAAGGCCGCCCCTATAGCCAGACCATCCGCGAAGTTGTGGATGCCATCGCTGATGGTGATCATGTATGGGAGTAGTTTTTGTTCTGAATTAGAAGAAAGAAAGAAAAGTTAGGCATGAATTGTACTGGGGAGATGTGGGATACATTCTTATTTTACATTTAGAAACATGTTTAATTGAATAATGTATTGAGTTTATAAGAACTAGCTATGTTAAACCTGAAACCTAGTTTTGTCAACAGTTTTAAGGTGATTATGACCAGGATTAAGGTTTGGATTTTGTTGTTGGGTTGAAGTTAGAGCGTTAGGTTTAGAATTAGGGAAAAGATGTGTGCAAATGTCAGTGTGAATGAGATATCATTTTCCTTCCATACAGTGATGTGATGATATTGATAGTGAAACACAATATCAGAGAGGGTAACTAAGCTATTAGGCTTAAGGAGGCAGATGTGATCTTGTAATGAGAATGTCTGGGGAGAACTATGAGACATTTTGGGCTAAAAGTGAGTGGAAATATAGAGTTATTAGGATAGGGGGAAAATGACTGTGAAATTTCGAAACCAATCCAACATCTCATGAAATCGGAGCTCAAACAAACCTCAAGCCTGTCGTTAGCACATGGATGTAATGTAAGTTAGCATGGCTGAACGGTTTCCTCAAAAAACTCAATGTGTGTCACACGTGCTGAGAACATGACATGCGGTAAAAATAACTATAACCTCTTGCAAGGGAAAAACAGTTCCATTAGCTAATGACAGTGTTTGGCTAGCTAATTTTTTTGGCTTGTGTTATTGATTGTACTTGACGTCAAAAGAGCACAGACTAGAGGTATTTGGGGTGAGTTTTACAGGGGATACAGTCTTGTTAGTGGTTCTTATATCATAATCAATGCCAAAAGTTTAACAGATTTTCTATCAGTGACAGGTGATCATGGTGGAAGGGGGTGAAACATGATAACATTGATTAATATAATTTTTCGGTAACACTTTCTATGAATGTCACCTTTGTAAGCATCTATAAACACATTCAGAACATGTTATAATGCATTCATAAGGCATTATAAACATGACTATAAATATTTATAAAAATGCATTACACGTTAAAGCCATGCTTATTATGCATTATGAATTGTTAACATAATACATTATAAGTACTGATCATAACAAGTTATAAGAGCTCATAAGTCGTATTTGTCCGCTCTAAGTAAAGTGAAGCGTACTGTACTAAAGCCTCCTCCAGTGTTCAGAGTGAGGCTACAAGTTGAAGTATTTACTGAAGGATTTACAGTAAACAGTAAAACATACACAGTAAACCACATTACAGGCTTCAAATGTCAGAGTTTAAACTAGTGCTGCCATCAGTGTTTTACCCAATGTGGGAAAGGTAATGTACACCACCGTTAGCTTGGTATTTGTCTTTACTTTATGCTCTCCAAGCTGGGACTGACTTCTTTGGCACTGACATTATAACATGTTATTAACACTACTTATAATGCATTATATTAACAATTCATAATGTATAATAAACATGGCTGTAAAGTGTAATCCAGTGTAATTCATTTTTATAAATGTTTATAATCATGTTTATAATGCCATATGAAGACATTATAACATGTTATAAAAGTGTTTATAGATGCTTACAAATGTGACATTCATAGAAAGTGTTACCAATTTTTCTTCTGCCTGCTGATGTTACGGTAATCAGAAGACGTTTTACAGGCTGGAAAAAGTATTCACTTTTTGATGGAACATTATAGGAAAACAAACTTTGGTCTTCATTCACTAATATCTTCCTTTTTTCTTAAACTTGTTCTTGAGAAAGGTCCTAAAAAAAAGTCTACATCAGATTCATGACGTGCTCTTAAACCACAGAACTGTTCACACCTTTGAGCTCTTGAGTGTGCATAGACCTGTTCTTACCTAACAACAAATCCCAAATAAGAAAACATTGGTGAATATCAGAATCTTTGTGAAAACTACGCAAATGGGTTTTAAGAAGAAATTTCTACTTAAGAATGGTGAGTGAATGAGGCCTATTGCCTTTTGAATGATATATGATGAATCATGCTTAAAATGACAAGGGGAATCAACTAGCAAGGTCTATGTTGATTCCTGGTTGTCTTTTCTAGGTGAAATGTCAAATAAAGACAAAGTGATTATCTACAGTGGACGTAAAATACAATTCTACTGGTAAAACGTATGTACATATTTACACTTTTGCCAAAGCTAACCTGACCAAAATGACCCCAAAAGCTTGTATTTTAATTTCCGACACATCTTCTTCTAACTGTTCTCATCTAATTGACTAGAACTGTCTCAGTGAGCTACATATATGAGCTGCTTTTGATACACTGTGGATCATGATGTGGATCATGTTGATGATGCAAGTTTTGTCCTTGTTTTTGTCCAACCCTCATCCACGTCCCCTGCACTTCACAAAACAAAGCTACGCCCATGGAGTTTATAAAGCCTTTCCCACTTTCTACCCTGGTGTGCGTGGAAAAACGAATGATTATGTACATATAATTAACTGCGGATGATTGTGTGCTCATTTTCCGGCACGCTAAGGGAGCTTTACAGCATGACTCAGAATGACTCGGCACTGGCAGTCACAGAGCTCACCTCTTGTGCGAAGGGCTGGTTCTGGGAAGGACTTAACATTGTTTTCCCCATCCACCTGCAAGCAAAAGCAAAGCAACACAAGACTGTTATTCACTCAGCAGGACCACTACCTGAGGACAAGATCTCAGACCCGAGGAGTGTAATTATTGCAGGGAAGGACACACTCTGTGAGTCACAGCAAGAGGAGCCAAAACAAGCAAGAGGAGCCTTATAAAGGACTTTTTGGGGTCATACAGTCATGGATTGCGCTAGTTGGACTTGTATTGAGTGGACAGATCTTTCCACTCATAAAAACATAAATGTTCCAAAAGCGTTTTTGGAGCAATGCTATAGAAGAGCCATTTTCCAGTGGACGGTTCTTTGAAGAAACCATTTTGTAGATGAGATGTCTAGGAATTAACTTTTCCTGAAGGACCTTCATATAATACAATGGTGGTTCTTCTATGGATTTGCTCCAAGAACACTTTTGGCATCTATAACTGAAAAGGAAAACTTTATACTTTAAGATGTTCCTGTGTGGTTCTTCTACAGCACTAGATCCAGAATATGTTTCACAGTTTACAATTAGGTTAAAAAAATGAGTTTTTAATTCTACATTTATGTTGATTTTTTCTGAAGGAAGTGTTTTCTGTGTGTACTCTGTCCCTGTTCATTTTCCTCTCCCTTGAAATTCCACAGATTCCATTTTGACATCAGCGTCCCCTTCTCCTTATCCCACTGACTCTGGGTCAAAGTTTTCGATCTCATATTTCTTCAGAATTAAGTGGTGTAGAGAGAAAGCCTTACCAGGTCAGCTTGTGAAGTGGACAACTTGTTCTTTCTCTCTCTCTGGTACATCTGCAAGACTTTGCCATGGTCACAGTGGTGTGGATCTCCTTCCTCCTAAAGGCAGCAATAAAAGCCACTATCAGCCTGTTCTGGCAACAGTTGCTCACATGCCTCTATGATCATGGCTGACAGCCAGATTTTTTCTTGTACAAACAATATATCAGTTCATGCTCTTACACCAGTGAATCTTTTTTGGACAAACATTTTCCCTTTATGAAACCTCATAAACCTCACAACAAAGCTGTAATCTGAGCTTTGGACAAAATAGGTCTGTAATGATTCTCCTTTATGGGACTTGTTCTGAACAACAAAGCAATTAGAAGTTTTCACAAATCACAACTGGAATCATACGACACGCACATCAGTTTTATTCCTCAAAATGTCCCTTTCAAGAAAGATTTTCCTGCTAGGAATTTTGGTTTCCATATTAGGCCATAAGTATCATCACTGTCACATGTCTTTAGGTCTTTAGGATGTCGAACACCTCATTAAACCAAGTGGTTTTATGTTTTTAATGCCGGTGATCTGCAATCAGGTGATCGCTGTTGTCGGAAGAAAACCTCGTATCTCCAAAATGGTAACTTTACAGGAAAAGGAAAAAACCTACTTCACTTTTAATGTAAGTCAATGGAACCAGACATTTTTCCAAGTCATTTTAGGTCATTTCTTCTGGTCCATTCATCATGTTTACACACAATGTAAAGGGTAACAGGCATTTTCAAATTATGCCAAAACTCAAAAACATTAAAAATGGAGATACGAGGTTTTCTTCCGACAACAGCGACATGAAAAATTTCAAAAGTAAACTATTTCTAAATGGAGATAGGTCCACTTACAAATGGGATGGAATGCATTTAGAGGTAGAGTTATGAAATAGTTACATGAATGCATTTGGCAGATGCTCTTATTCAGGACACTTTATGATATAATCATGTTACAGAAATAGATGAATGTAGCGTTAAGAGTCTTGCCTAAGGACTCTTATTTGTATATCATGGTGTTCTTGCCAGAATGGAGAATCAAACCCGAGTCTGCCATGGGAAAAGCAATTGCATTGCATTCTAATTTCAATATACATGTTAGAACTGTGTAATATGGGCAAACTACTCTATTGCAAATAAATTGTCACATATTATAATTATAATTGAGCTTCCTATACACTGAAAACACATCAGTGCCACTGCATTTACACTTAGCTAGTGCATGCATCTCATTTCTGGATAAGATTTATCTACATGGCATTTACACTTGACCAGATGGATAGAAATGCAATTTATGTCTATGCTGCCTTATAAGCTTTTTCAGAATGTCCTGACATGATGCAGGAATATTGTTGCACTGTTTGTTTTGTTGTTTATGATTAATTTCACCAATAAACACAAAAGGTTTCAACACTGGTGAGAGAGAAAAAAGTTGGTACTTTCACTGAACATTGGATTTCTTATGCGACCAATTGCAGATTCATTTGTCTGGGAGGAACACAGTCTGCCTGTACTGGCACAATTTGGTTTAGAAGGACTAATGATTACATTTGTGAGTTGAAGAAACACACGCATTTATATTTGGCTAAGCTGCAATCATCTCTAATGCAGCCTGGACTCCGGCTACACCTGGCATTAACATGTGTGCTGAGTGACAGTGCTAACTATAGGTGTGAATGGGGTCCAATGCTTCTCAAAGAGGTATTGTGATCTGATCATGCAAACCACCTTTCCGAGGTGTTCAGGGACACCAGGCAGCAGTTTAGTTTAAATTTTAAAGGCCCTGAATTTTAAAGGCCCCGGTCAACATCGACCTGATTAACTGCATCATCACAGCAGAGACAAAAGCAGCTGCATAGCTTCTTTTTTCATCTCTTCTTTTCTGTTTACTTTTGTAACAGCTCACATATTTCCACAAACAAGGCCTCCATGCACAGTGTGTCTGACAACACATGCACAGAGAAACTGACATAGTTAATTGTTTGTGGCACCCCTTCAAAGACATGAAGTAAGATCACGTGGTCACTGGAGACGTTTTCAAGACCCATGGGAATGCCAGGTGTAAACGGCTATACTTCTGGCTGTCCACTGGTAATCAGATCACTTGAGATGGATGTCAATACCAGGTATGCGCAAGGAATTCAGGCAGATCAAGACGCATGAAGTATCTAAGTCTAAGTCGGATCACAGTGTAAACAGGTCTATAATGTGGTTAAAGATTGTCCTGTTTTATTTTGACGCAGATTTTTTATGGTTGTTGAATCATGTGAATGACTTCAATCAGTTCATTCAATTACCCCCCACAAAATGTGATTTGGCTCAAGACACACAATAAAACATTTTGTTGATTTGTTTGAGCAGCCATCACCAACACTGGTCCCGGAGATCGACCTTCCTGCAGAGTTCCAACCACGATCCGTCACAACTGATCCATCTAATATGCCATTTTCACATTTCTTCATTTGTTCTGCTGGAAGTAGTTGTTGCAGGGTGAAGCTGCTTCCACCAAAGCAATAACAACAGCAACAATGACGAGTAGAGTGTGTACAGCTCACTCAAGTGTTCGAGTCTAAAGCAAAAACAACCTTATCTCAGTTTCAGTGGTTTGTCAGCTGATGATGAGCAGAGGAAAAATGAGTTTGTGCAGTTAATAAAGGAAGAAACTTTGTCATATGGAGGAAAAGAACCTCTGTGTCAGCATTTCAGCGCTGCTGACTAATGTTTACATGCAGTTTGTGCTTTAAAGTTGCTGCTGCAGCCGCTTTTAGAAAAAACAGTTAATTTTCTCCCTCAAAAGATGTCGGCATCCGAGAGAGTGAGTGCTCAGCGGGGAGCAGATGTTCGTTCACTGGAGCCGGTGTTTGTGTGCAACATTTACGGTGGCGCTACGGACCATGAAGACCAGGAACGCCCCCCTGCTGGACTGTACACTTTTTGCTAATTTATTGTTAGCGAACTGTTTGAACATTTCCAGCTAGTATGGCTTATCTAGTGTATGTAGGCGTGTTTAGCTTTTTGCTAACTAATTTATTGTTAGCGAGCTGTTTCAACAACTCCAGGCTTATGGCTTATCTAGTCTTTTGGTGACAGTTATTTTCACCTATCCATCATTTTATCACTCTGTAGACGTTAGCTGACGTTATCGTACTCTGACAGCTGTGAAGGAATTTTTCCATGTAGCATTTATATCCTTTATTTAGTTTGGACTCCCATATTGTTGTGTGTTTGGCCCTCCAACAATTCTGGACACATCCTCGAATTCCACGCAACTATGACAAAGATAAAGTGAGACACCTTTCTGCGGTGAGCTAAAGTGATATGAAGGCCTATATTTCTGAGGTTAATAACTGTCCATCAGGCAACAGCAGAACTTGTTTGACCCAGCGTTACGCACTTCCGGGTCTGTTACCTTCATCAGATGTTCTTAATTGGCTGCATTAGTGTTACGTAAGGGGGCATCACGTTAGAAGCATGTTGGAACTCTGCATGAAAGTACATCTCCATGAGCTACTGGGTTCGAGGCTCATTTGTGTGCTCCACACTTCTACAATATCAGTACTACAAAGACTGATAATTAAGGAATGATATATTAGGCAGCTCTGGCTTCAACTAAGACCGAATGTCAGTCCTGGGGACCCCACATTCTGCACATCTTTCTGCTTTCCCTCTAGCACAGCTAATGCAGTTCATTAAGTAATCTCATTAAGCACAAGTGTCTCATGTGCTGGGCCAGATGTGTTAGAATAAGAAAACTACAAATATGTGCAAAGCATTGGGTCCCAGGCACTGACCTTGGGAATCACTGGTTTAAGTAAATAAGCCTGCTCCTGAAGTAGATCAAATAGTTGGTAACTTACTCCGTGGTGATGTGGTTCGCTGTTTTTGCGCGTGATGATTGAGAAGATCTTCTCCATCAGGAAAAAGTAATAGATTCCTCCTAAAACCACCAGCAGCTTGAAGATATAAGTCGAGTCCTCCTCTGAATGGTCATGTCCATCACTCTGTCCCTCCCCGTGCACATGGAGGCCCAAAAACTGCACACATACACATACAAACAGGCACAAGGCCATCAAATCATAACCCTGACAATGCTATTAAATCCAACCAAAACTCTGCGTTCTCCCCAGATTCCCCCGGAAGCAGCGAAAAAGCAATTCCAGCCTTGGGTTCAATTAGAGCCTGCTGCCTTTTCGCCAGTTAATCCTGTTACTTCCCACTCAGGCTGCTGACATTGTGTGACATGGTGCCCGTTATGTTGTTATGACAAGCATCAGAACGGATGAAGTGGTGGAGGCGTTACTGCAATGAGTGCCAGCCCAGGGGAAATAAGCGGTAGGAGGTCTCACGTGGGCCCGTGACTGATTCTCCCATGTTCCACAGCAAAATGGGCCAGTGTAATGAGGCACAGGCCGAGCTTTTATGGGTTTAGTCCTACTAACAGTGAGTAGGATGGTATGAGTTGGTGGTTAGAAAAGAGCTTATGCGCTAACTATGGGTGGATTTGGAGGACACTGTAATGCGGTTCAATGCATTTTGCCTCCAATGCAAAATGATCTGTTTGACCTCCTAGATCCCCAATGGCATATACGCTGTAAATTCCTCTTCTTGCACTTTGTTTAACTGTTTCAGACGTAGTTAGTTCTAAACTTCCAATTGATAATGTATTTGTGTGTTGAAAGTAGAAGACAAGATATTATATTGGGATTTGAATTTGATGAAAAGTTTGATGAAAACTAAAAAACTGTTTGCATATTTGCCATCATTTCATCAGTGCAGCAAATGGGACAAAAGGCAGGCATTCATACTTGAACCTGTCAATCCAGAATGTAAACTGAATGTAGATAGAAAGCATTCTGTAACTATCAGTTTAATTCCTTATGTAATCATGTAATGGCATATGAATATGCATGGAATGTTAAATAAATCTATAGTAAAAGGAACATACTCTCTGTAGACCCTGTGGGTTAAATTACAGTCTTTTTTCGATGTAAAGCACCGCTTGGACCCCACTTGTAAGTCACTGACCGACTCACTTACTCACTCACATTTGGCAGGCCAAAGTTTCTCCACGAGGGGGCGCAATTAGAACTGATATAGCTTTAGGTGGTTTGTATCAATGACACCGTGTGGGCCTGTTTAGACTAGGTTACTTGCTGTCCTATTCAGTTAAATGTATCAGCCATAGCAAATTGTCACATTGTCAAATTGGGAATAAGACTGATGTAGATCTGAGCTTTGTTCTCACAACAGATCAACACACCAGAATGATCAAGTAATTCAATAAGAGCTGAATGTTACTGGGACAAATAACATTCATACAGACAAATATCAAAGGAAAACCCTGCAGTTTGTCGAATAGCCACTATTCACAAAGGCTCTAGAAGCATTCTGTCTACAGTATTAGAGTATGGTAGCTCATTAAACCTTTATGGTCCTTTTAACTTGGAAATAGATTCTGGATACAATACAAATTTAGAGGAAATGGTGTAAACAAGACCATAAAGGGACAACCTTCATCAGGAAGCTTTATTACTATGAGAGTGCTGTTCTCCTAAAAGATGAAGTGCTGGTGAGACTCAGACTCCTGCAACAGTTTAAGGGCAAATCAGACTGCTGTAAATGCTATATAGGAAAATATAAAAATGCATATTCAGCATATTCCAAAGACACACAATGACAAATGAGTTTCACAAACCCTAAAACTGTGCAAGTCAGCTGTCTTCACAAAGTACATTCCCTGGCCACTTTATTAGAAACCCCTTCACCTTGCTGGAGAAACTGTAGCCCGTCTGTTAATGCACAGTTTGTGTTAACCATCCTGTAGGTTTTCATCAATGGTCAGTTTCTGACCACTCTTGGCTGAACATTTTTGGATGGTAGACCACTCTCAACCTAGCAGTGACACTGATTTGAGTAAAAACCTGTGCTGAGAACAGTCCACCACCCAAAAATCTGCTCAACAGTGGTCTTGTGGTCAGAAACTGACCAGTGGTGAATGAGATGAGAGAGCGTGGAGGACAAAGAAGCAGATGGGCTAGAGTATGTTATTGTACATCTAAATATTCAACCTATAGGGTATGTGGAGCTCATAAAGAGGCCAATGACTTGGGCGGTGTTTCTAGTACAGTATATAAAAACTCTATATATTCTGGTCTGTGCTGTGTGAGGTTGCATGGGGACTCTCACCGTGGGCAGGAGATGCAGCAGTGCGTCACCGGTCAGTGAGCCCACAGCCAGGCTTATGCAGAACTGGATGCAGATTTGGAAGAGGTTGCTGCAGGAAGTACAAAGCAGCACCACAATCCCAAACATGGCCATAAGACAGATCACTATGTTGGCCAAGGTGGCGTACACATAGCCTGCGGAAGAGAGAGAGGAGAATTGACAGATGATGGAGAGAGAAGCACAGTAGCAATTATATTTAAACATCTGGATTGAAAACATCTGGATTGAATACTAATAAAAAACTTCAAGGTTTTCAATTGTTTTCCGACAGGATGTTCTAAACTCAGGTAAACACAATTGAAGATGATCACTTTCCTGGTTCCTCCCTTGTTAAACTGATCATGTTTCCAAGTGAATAAACAAAGTGAACAGTCAGCAGGAATGTCATTGGCATTATCTTTATAATGTAATTCCAAACAGGAACTTAATCATACTGTAATGTGTCACAGCACTTTAGAATTACATGACTCTAACCAACATTTTCTCAAAGTGCACTTTTAAAAAAAGTGTGTAAGGCTATGTTCACATTACCAGGCTGAAGGCGCACAAATCTGATTTTTTGCCCTAATGTGACTCAGATCTGATGTTTTCAGGGCTGTGTGGACACACAAATCTGATCTTTTCAAATCTGACCTGAGCCACTTTCATATGTGGTCCTAAATCAGATACGTATCCGATTCATGGCCATGCGACCTTAATGTGACGCTCAGATTGGAATTCATGTGCTTTTTTTCCACTGTGCATGCGCCATCATTCAGCGTTACCATGGCAGCAGTGCCGAACATAAGTTAAAGCCTGTAAACAGTGGAAAAGCAGCTCATCTCACCTTTTTCACCTTCGTCTCGCTCTAATAATGAAGCTGAGAGCTGATCAGAGTTAATTACCTTCTCAGTTAAGCTCGTTCTGCTCATTAGTTTGTTTGCTGATGATGCTCGTGACGTACGTGATTCATTCACGTGACGTTACTGAGTAGGATGTGCCTATGCGGGTCATTTCAGGACACCGGTTCGTTCACATTAATGACAGATTTGAGTCACTTACCTAAACGAGTGTGAACCATCCTGTCAGAGAGATCGGATTTGAGCAAAAAATCAGATTTAAGCAGCGAGGCTTGTAATGTGAGTGTAGCTTGAAAGGGTTCATTGGAGTAAAGCCACACAAAAAACACTTTTAGTTCCACATATAAGCTTTTAATGGATTATTTTTGTTTAAAGAACCTCCATATTATTTTAAAGCTCTACATCATCCCAGTATTTTGCAATTTGAGAGCAAACTCATATAAATTATAAATACATATGCAATGAAAAGAGCAAAATAGCACTAGTACTGCCTCTTTAATACCTCATGACAAGGCAAATTAGTAAAATTAGTAAATCTGCCCCATAGTCTTTATCTTGGGTTCATAGTATCTCGTAAATACTGTGGAGACTCACGCTCAGTGATGCTGAGGCTGTCGCCGGTGGGGTCTGTGGTAGGACCGGTCTCAACACAGGCTTTACTGAGGAGTTGCTGGATCAGGGCGGGGCTTAGCTGGGTGAACTGATCTCTGCTGAGTCCTGAGCTGTTCAGCTGGTAGATCCTCAACAGCTCCTGTGCACTGAAACACATCTGCAGACAAAATGGATTTTTTTAGAAATAAAAATGTATAACAACAACACTTTCACTGGCCACTTTATTGGAAACACCAACCTTGTAGCTCCCCTTTGCTGGTGTACAGTTGACTGTAGCCCTTCTGTTGATGCACTATTTGTATGTCATCTTCTAGCCCTCAGTTTCTGACTACAGAGCTGCTCTTACCTGGGTGGTGCACTATTGTCAACCTGACGCGTGGAAGCACGAGGAGGGTGTTGTGGATGGTAGTGTATATTAAATGTGATATGAAAGTAAATTAGGATCAGAACGGATGACAGCATGCAGTTCCATTAGATGATAATCATGCAGGCCGTGCTAGACTTGGTAAACATTTTGACTGCACCACTGAGGGCTGTTTACACAGACTGCAAATAACATATTCCCAAATTTAAACACAACATTAGGCCGACTTAGACTTTAAGCACTCATCATGGACTGGGTGGAAGATGGCATGTGTGAGACTCCATTTAACACGCTTAAACCGTGATTACTGAAGACGGGTGAAATTGAGTTCTTCCTATCAAACCACTGCATCCATCCACACAGATCAGCCTCTGACACTCCATGTCAGAATATTAAACGTAATTTCTTCCTCTGCCAGATGACTGGCACCCATGTGAAGTGTCTCCACTAAACGATGGTTTTGCCCTCCGAGGCCTCAACGAAGCGCATTTCATTTAGCTTTCTGTCGTGCATGGAAATTTCCCATGTGGTTGTGCATATGGTTTAAAGTGCCTTTTTCCATAGTGGACCCTGGCCACTGATCTATAACCAGACATTTCTTATTATAGCTAAGCAAATCAGATAGATCAGCATAGCTGGGTTTGCTTGCATTAAAGAAAATGCTGCTTTGATTTTTTTTTAATCAAATGTGTGCATCAGTTCCACATGAATAAAATGGTAACACATTACTGTAGGGCAGTGCTCATTGGTCTACATGACACCTACATAATATTGCTGTCGGGATCTCGATTTTTGTCATTTTTCATGTTTTGACATAATTTGAAAAGACCAGTTGCCCTTTATGTTGCATCAGTTCATGATGAATGGACCAACGGAAAAGGTTCAAAATGACTTGGAAAAAATGATTTCTCCATTGACTTCCATTAAAAATAAAGAATGTTTTCCTTGTCCTATAAAGTTACCATTTGGAGATACAAAGTTTCGTTCCAACTGATATAAACTTGCATTCACTTTCCAACAGGTAACATCTTTCTACTTTTGTCATCATATCTATGTCAGTAACCCATTTTTTTCTGACACTGGGTTGTTATTTTTTTTGGGTGAAATGACATAGCATGTTATAACAACTGACTTTGTAGCTTAGTGTGGATAATGCTGATGATGTTTCTTACAAATCTAACAAATGTTAAAAAAAAAACCTCACTTCATCCAAGGGCCACAGATAGTGCTCACTTTTGTTCAACCAGCCTGACTTGACAAGCTATGTCCTGTTATCAGCATTATGTCACTGTGATCTTCACTGACCTAAGTCCATGTCACTTCACCCCAGAGAAGGTGATAACAAACTAATATCAGAAAAAAAATCATATTTTATAGATGTTATGTGAACTTGACATCAAAGTTGGCAAATGCAACCTTTATGACAAAAGTGTTACCAATAAAACAAATTACATCAGCAGTTATTGCTGAAAGTACACTCTTAAAAACAAAAAGTGCGACGAAGTGTTCTTTGGTTAATGCTACCGAAGAACCACTTTTGGTTCCCAAAAGAACCGTGTTTGAACACAAATTAATGAGCGTAAATGGTTCACAGAACCTTTATATAATGGGAAGGTTCTATACCAAATTAATTACGAGGAGGTTCTTTAAACTTTAAACTGTAAAGAACCATCCACAATAAGGTTTTTTTAGAGAACCAGAAGTGGTTCTTCTATGGTATTGCTCAAAGAACCCCTTTCTTGCACTTTTATTTTGAATAAAGACAGTAACTCTTAAAAATAACGGTTTCTAATTGGTTCTTGGCTTGGATGCATGGATCTAGGAAAACTGGTATAGAACCTTTGTGTGGAGGCTCTCGGTTATTTACCCTTCCACGTCTCATTTACAAAAATAAACTATCAATTGAAAAGTTTTAGAGCTTTAGAGAAACAAAGCTCTTTTATGGCAGAGGTGTTTAAATCTCGACCTTCAATCCAGTCTCCAGTCCTGGATTTTGTAATGACTGGTAGGTATAACACTAAATGGCTAATCAGTTACATTTACAGTTCAATTAACTACAGTGATTACAAAACCCAGGACTGGAAACAGGATTCAAGGTCGGGATTTTGAAGATCTCTATCTCTCGAATGATCCCTTTTTGCGGACTTTTATACATTTCATTTAAGTAAAGTGTATCAGGTAAATCCAGTGCACTATTTTGAGTGTGGCTTCAGCTGGCCATGATGGCTGATGGCGTAGAGTAGGCTAAGAGGCAACATTGATGGAGCCAAACGGCCTGGATGTAATTGCCCTGGTAGCTCAGTAATTACCCCGTCCCAGCTGCTGTTGGAGAGTTGAGACTCCTCGTGACTGTGCCTGAGGCCCTCTCCACCATCGTGGACCTCCTGACTATGGTCATGGTCATGGTCATGGTCATGATCACTGTTCCCTGTCATGTGACCCAGGTTCAGAGCATTCATCAAATTATCGAGGTCTGTATCAAGATAAATTCAACAGATATGAGCCAATAAAACACTGTCAATTCAAACTGTGCAGATATACACATTAACATAAAAGAGAAATTATGGAACATATTAATGATTATATTAAATGAGAGCTAGAAATGTTCAAGGTTTCAGTAGGGTTATTGACTAGCCTTAGCTAGCTAGCTAACAGGCATTTGTATAAGCAAAAGCTTTTGGTTTATTGAAGAGTCATGATTCTTATCAATATAAAATGACAACATTTGAATCAATTATTAACAAAGAACATAATAGCATTTGCTATGGTTAGTTAGCTAGCTAGCTGACTGTTTGCTCAGGTTGGAAGATGGACTGTGAAAATAGTATCTATTACATGATGTTGCCTCAGGGAAACATAGTAATTTTACTCACTTATGAATAACACAATACATATTTAATGATGATGAAAGGTTTGATAATGAAGGGAAAGGTTAAATATGTATGTTGCCTTTAGGCAACACTGTGCAACAATGGAATATATATAGCTAGTTGTTTTTATTTATTTTTTTTTATTTATTTATTTTTTTTGGCTAAGATGTGTTACCTAGCCAGCCGATTGCTTGCTCAGGTTGGAAGATGAATTGTAAAACAGTTAACCCTCTATTTAACAATGTTGCCTCAGGGAAACCAATCCACTTTCCTCACTTTACCATTACATGATACTTAATTAATGATGAAAAAAGGTTTAATGATGAAGGGAAGGGTTAAATATGTATGTTGCCTAGAAGCAACATTGTGTGACAGTGCAAATATATAGAGAAGAACACCTCAGTTACTGTCTAGTTTTTCATTTCCAAGATTTTATACAAGGTTGTTTTTGTTTATAACATTTGCAATATTGGTGGCCAGAGGCCTGTTTCTGTCAATTCCATCACTAAGCATTGAGCATACACTCTATATGTTTTACTAGTGTCATCAGCAGCTTAATTTAGAAAATTCTGATTAGTTGAACAGTAATTGATTTTTTGAATAGCTTACCATGGTTTAAACCATTATTTGTGCTTTTAAATGATTAGTGTGCAAAAAAAATGGTAATCAACGTTCTTTGAAAAAAAGAGAAGGATTTTTTTTATTACATTTTTAAGTCAACAAATTGTGTAGTTTCTCCATTTTGTTCTAAAAATGTAGATAAAAATATCCTGTTTTTTATGTGATACACTGTATTATTTCTTTCCTTTGATATACAATGTTACCTCAAGACAACATGCCCCAAAAGAACTCCCTCATTATTTAAAATAATGCTTTTGATTTTAATAGCCAGGTCTAGTTTAGGCAAGAAAAGTCAATCAAACCTAATTTAAAACATTGCTCTCATAATGCATGCAAAAGAGGAAGAAGTTGAATATTTTGTTAAATTACATATTAATTAAAGTAATAGAAGCAGAATTACTATGATTTCATTATATACTGTTACTGCACTCATACTAAACAGAGGCCCACTGATTCCCAAAGATGATGAAGCCACCACAGTGATGCCAGCGCAGCAGTGAGCAGGTGTAATTAGCTGCATCATTCCTGTCAATGACAGGGTGCATTGCTCTCATTCAGCATCATGCAATTTACTGCGTCACTGTCCTACCTGTAACTGTGAAGTTGCCTGAGCTGAAGTGGCTGAATATGTAATCCAAGAAGAACTCCTTGTCTGGAAGGCTTTGAGCCGTCAGGCAGTCTCCCCGCAAGACGTGATAGATTATAATGCCCAACACCGCGTCCAGGTCGGTGTGTTGGTCAGCTTCTTGATGGTCTTTGTCAGTCACATTGCTCTCTTGTAGGATGTCAGTCAGTGAGAGACAGGGCTGCAGAAGTGATACAAAAAACACCGCCGTCAGCGCTGGGTGTCAATCATTTGTCATTCCACATTCTGCAAGTTATCTGACGGGTTGTACTGTCAGTTTTTGAGTTTTAGATTCTGATGTGGACACGTCTCTGGTTTACTGTCATACTGAAGCTGAATCTTAATTGCTTTTTACAGTTTTATACAACTATGATTTGATTTCACTTCTCACAAAACAAAAGTTTTTAGATGTGTTGATTCAACTCTTGAGACTGATTTATTCCCTTAAATGGCCAGGACTTCTATCAGGACACACTTCTATAACATAAGAATAGCACCACCCGTTTGCATCGAAGTCCCTGTAGTTACTGAATAATAAGCCTTAGTCTGTAATAAGCCTGGGATTTTAAGTAGTTATTTCAGGTATCTTTGGTTTCCTTTGAGAAGTGGAGGCAGGTTTATATGTTTGTATATATACACTGTTTAAAGTACAAATAATAAATAAATAATAATAATAAATAAATAAATAAAGGTGCCAGAAAGTGTTCTTTGCATCACAAACCACTTTTGACCATTCATTAGTTTTATAGCGAATGTGCTAGCTAACTAGCATAACTAACATCCCACTGATGTTTTAGTAGTTTTAAAGGAATGTGATATGTTAACTTACTATGACTTCAGCACGATTAGTTAAACGCTTCCGCTAAACTAGCTAAATTAGCTGTATTAGCTAAATTAGCTAAATTAGCACACTTGCCATCCAAACTATACGCTAGCCAACCATTAAGGTTGTTTTGCCGAGTCACTAGCTGCGTCCCAAAGCCTAGGCTGCAGCCTCGGCAGGGCGGGTCCTCGGTAGGACTGTCTTATGTAGTACGATAAACTAAATATCGCTGTTGTCAGAACAAAACCTTGTATCTCCAAGATGGTAACTTTACAGAAGAAGAAAAAAACCTACTATACTTTTACTGTAAGTCAATGGAACCAGATATTTTTCCAAGTAATTTTGGCCTGTTTATTTTGGTCCGTTCATCATGAAATTTACGCACAGTGTAAAGGACAACAGGAATTTTCACATTATAAAAAACTGCAAAAAGGTTCTGAAAATTTCTGATTAAAACCTGATATATGGACAAATGCTTGAATCAGTCATTTTACACTTTATAAAATAATGAAGACGAATTTAAGGATTCTGCTCCAACGGCTCTGTTTTCGTGGTGCTGTTTTTTCCCTTTGTGTCATTTGTGCACAGAGAACTATGGGTAACCGAAGGCCTGGACGGACACATCTGTTGCATCCTCAAATTCACTCAGAAAAAGGCTGCATTTCTAGGTTCTTCACACTCATCTTTTTTTCGTACATGGTTCTTAAATAATTCTTGGTTTGGACATAAGGTTCTAGAAGAAACCTTGATATTGGTATAGAACATTTGCAATATGGCAAGGCTGTTTGAATTTTAAAAAGGTTCTTCACACTTATTTACAAAAGAAGTTCTTTAGAGGAGAATCAATTGAAAGGTTCTTTGAGGAACCAAAAGTCATTGTTCTGTTGCATGGCTCCAAAGAACCCTTTCTGGCACCTTTTGGCACCAAATTCTAAGAGTCTAGGGTTTTTCTGCATATATGGAAATGTTTAATCTCAGTGAGGTTCTGCTGATTAAATGATGAATAAACATGTAATAAACGAATAAAAATACTTGTACTTACCTCATCATGCTGGTCAGGGAGGTAATACTCTTCCATATCATGAAGCAGTTTCTCCAAACCTTCTCTTCCCAGGCTGACCCCTTCCTCATGGCTGTCACCGTGGTCATTGTGGGCTAGGATTGATTGGATGAAGTGGTCCGTCTCCTGCGCCCAGCGACCCTCCAGGATGGCCGTGCAGGTGTTTATAGGTGAGCTGAGGAACAGACAGCACCCGGCAGCCACCTTGAAAAAGCCTTCCGCCTGCAGACCGCTGGAGCTGGTGTAGTTACTGACCAACTGGCCTACGTTCTCTTCCAGCAGGGACTACAGACACAACCACAGGAGAGAATGTTACATTTAGTGGCTTCAGCTTTTAGGACAATCTGTCATAATACTGTACAGTTTTTATGACAAGATGTTGGAGAGGCTGAATGACCAAAGGAGGTCAAGTTTTCTATGAGCAGATTTAAACAGAAAGACCAATAGTTTCACCATAGATGAGGTGAGAGTCATGGAGCCAGTGGTCTTATCTTATTTGCCCTGAGCTTTACATTATGTTATCGTACAGAGAGTCAGGAAAACAAATGACCAGCATGCAGTCCGTCACTATAGAGAAACCGTCTGGGAGTTCTTTAGTGGACATGAAGCTTTCGTGTTGTGTTAAACATTAAGGTTCCTAAATGGTTCTTGGCTTTGAAAAGTTGTTCAAGGAAAATATTTGGTACACTATTTAACCCCTTAACAAGCAAAGTTTTATTAGATTGCATTGAAGTCCCTGTAGTTACTGAATAATAAGTCTTAGTATGAGATAAACCTGGATTGTTAAGGGGTTAAAAAGGGTTCTTCGAGAGTTCCTTAGTAAAGGCAATGGTTAGATAAACTGTGCAAGACAGAGACCAAATTTATTTACCTCATTTATTTCAGCATTTTTGTTGTTTTTCAGTTTTTGACATGATTTAAAAATGTCTGTTGCACTTTACATTGTGTGTAAATTTCGTTAAGAATTAACCAAAAGAAACGGCCCAAAATGACGTGGAAAAAAGTCTGGTTTCATTGACTTACATTAAAAGTAAAGTATGTTTTTTCCATCTCCTGTAAAGTTACCATTTTGGAGATATGAGGTTTTCTTCTGACAACAGTGATATACTTAACAACTAAACATAATTTCATCCACAACTAAATAGAATTTCTCCATTTTCAGTTTTTAGTGTGTCCACTCTGCCTTTATTACAACTTCCATTCTTTTCAGGAGACTCGCTTTCAGTTTTTCAAAGAAATCTGCAGGGATGTTTTTCCACAGATCAGTCTCAGAAGTTGGTTGCATTTTCTGCTTATCACGATCCAGGTGATCTCAAACACATTAAATGATGCTGAGGTCTGGACTCTGGGGTGGTCAGTTCATTGTTCTGAGAACACAGAAGCTTCTTTATTTGATTTATCTGTTTCCTTTTCTCAGTAAGAGCTTCTTGAACAGCTACACATGCTTTCAGACCTATAGCACTGAGTTGTTTCCTCACAGTGGAAGGATGGACAGAATCACCTGTGGATTTTTTCAGATCTGAAGCCAGAGTGGAGCTTGAATACAGTTTTGGTCTACCAGGTCTTGCACAGTTTCTAGGAATCCCATTGTCTATATCTATGTATTTTCCATATCTCCTCAGAAACATCTCCTGAAAAATGAAATATTTAATGGCTTTTGACTAGACATGAAATGAATGAAGGGTGGGCTCTGCCTTTTGCATAGCATTGTGAGGACCATGATCACTGAAAGAACCATATCACTGATGTCAGAACAAAACCTTGTATCTCCATTTTTGTCGTTTTTCTGTTTTTGACATAATTTGAAAATTTCTGTTGCCCTTTAGATTGTATGCAAATTTCATGATGAGCGGACTGAAAGAAACAGCCCAAAACTACTTGGAAAAATGTCTGGTTCCATTGACTTACATTAAAAGTAAAGTATGTTTTTTCCTTCTCCTGTAAAGTTACCATTTTGTAGATATGAGGTTTTGTTCCAATGGCAGCGATATGAATCCATAACTAGCTCTTCTCTATGATGAAGAAAATGTATATATTCTTAGAATATTAGAGAAAAATTTTAGAGAATGGTTCGAAGTCTCTCTCTTTTTGGCACTAGAACAAAGAATGCACAGCACCTTTAGACTCTTAAGGTAAATGCTGAGGTTCTCATAATATTCAATCAGAAGTGGTTCTTTAGGAAACTATTCATTGTAGCATTTCTCCAAACAGGTCACCTCTATTAAAAATATAAGTCATGTTCTCTCTTTTTATTTTAATGCGTAGTACAGTGAATGAGGTAGAACAATGAATTTGTACTTTTGAAATTAAATTCAGTGCATATCTGTCTTTTGGTAGTTTAGGAACATGTCTCTGTTCTGTTTCCCTGTAATAAAGCTCGTGCCCGTCTCTGACCCCTTCTCATTTCAAACAATTAAGTACTTCAAATGAGTCATTGTTGGTAAAAAAGGCCCTGCTGAGCAGTTCCTCAAAGAGGCCTTTATTTCTTCCAGAAGCCCCTTTCATTTTCAGAATGATTCCACCAAAAGACCTTTTATATCATGTTTTTGTTCAGCTCTTATACCTGAGACAAAGTCCAGTGGAGAAAACAAGCAGAGCAGCCACGAAGTAAAAGAAGGAGAAAAGAGCAAAGGGTTAGCTTTACTCTTCAGGGTTTTTAATGCATTAAGGAAATAGAGGAAATTAAGGAAATTTAAAAAGACATCTTGAAAACGTTTAACTTACATAAAAACGTTTCAAACAGAGAAAAACAATTTAAAAACCGGAAAACGAAAAAAATTGAAAACATAAAAATAATACATTTAAATAAATAAATACTTGAACGATTTTTTGATCACAAAATCAAACTCTTGTTGTTCCCAGCTTTTGTTTTTATCCTTTTTTTTTCCTGTTTTTTTTTTTTTTTACGATTATAATGTGAAGTGAACAGGTTTCCCAATAATATTTTTATATTATTTTTATATAAATGAAAATAATATAAAAAATAATAAAAAAATAAAAGATAAAGCTAGAAAAATAAAAGATAAAAAATCAAATTAAATCATGATATTTGAACGACCTAATAACTTTTAGCTTAGATTGTTTTTATTTTTGCTTCGTGTTTTAAGAATTCAATCAGTTACGTAAGAAAACTTTTTAAACTCTTGTTGCACGAGCCCGATTTTAACCAGCGATTCATTTCGGTCAAAAGAGTCCAGAATTCCACACAAACAACTACAGCTTTAACACCGTTACGTGTGTGTTTACTGTTTATATGTTAAGTATAAGAAACCGTCTCGTCTTTCAGGCGCTCTGCTCTCGGCCGGTGTAGCACACGGACCCGTGGCAGGGGTGGCGCTGGACCTCGACCCCAACCGAGAGCAGCCTGCAGAAGTGGCGTTGAATAAAAAAGCCGTACCTTTTCACACGACACATCGGCCCATTGCACACGTTTCTCCAGCAGCTTGAAAAAGGAGCGGACGGCGCTTTCACTCAGGTCGTCTTCGCCCGGGGACAGCAGGCTGACCACCTTCCCGTATGCGTCCAGTCTGGCGCCGTGCGACTCAGAGCAGCACGCGAGGCAGATCAGAAAGACGAGAAGAACTCTGCTCCGGTTCTCCATCGGGCTGTTCAAGTAAACACAACAAACAAACCAAAAGACTGGCTGGAGGCTTTGAGTGGTGGGAGCAGTTTCTGGTGGAAGTGCCACCTTCTCCGTGCACGTTCACTGGTTCTTAAAGGTGCTTCCCAATAGAGAATATACCTGCTCAGGTAGAGACTCCTCGTGCCCTCTCCACTCGATCCTGATTGGTCCCCGGCTTCACTACGTCTCATCAAAGCAGCAGTTTGTTCCCTAAGCTTTGCCCGGATGGGGGGCCTGTCTTAGCTAACATCTCTCTTGCTAACTCCTAGAAGCTCGTGCAGCCAGCTTTCCAAGCACGTGCTTAAACATTTTTTTACATTAAATTAAAGCACTGAGTACCATTTGGAATAAGCTGTGTAGAAGTGGGTAATAAACAAGTGTGGCCACTCATGGTGATGTGAATAGGCCTTTATAGGAAGACACTGTCTACTGAGGTGATGGAAGACCCTCAATAGGCCAAAATAAGCCTAAAAGACCCTTGATAGCCATTTCAGTTTGTTAGTTGATTGATAGATATTTTGTATCCTCACCACACAAAGCACAACCTACTAGGCATCCCTTACTTATGCTTATGATTGTTGTATTTTTTATCATATTTAAGACAAAATGAGCTATAACAATATCTTTTTTCTCCATTTTTATCCTTGTCTGTCATGCCGTGTGGACGTACAGCATCAAAACAGCGTGACCTCTGACCTTTCTTCCAGACTGTGCTCCTGAAATACTCCCTGCAAATACATGAGAGCATCTCTGATTGGATGAAAGCCCTTAGTTGCTGATCTGAGGTCAGCTAACTGTACCAAGTCCTAAGCACAAGCATTATGTGATTATAAAAAGAACAGCAAAACTGGCCTCATATCAGCATAAAGGGCAATCTCTCCCAACACTGCACCAACCTCCAGCGGCTGAATCAGCTGTTACAAAGCTATAGCAGCAGAGTTTTGCTACAAGTTTACCGGTCAGCGTTTTCTAGAAAGTGAACGCCTTTACACTATAGGCTGCTACAGGACACAGGTGAATGTGTGACCTATTTCTCTGGTGTTTGAAGCTCAGAGTAGAAAAGGCCTGAGCAAAAGCAACAGCTACTCAAGCTCCACAGTTCCTCAGCTTGAAAGTGTGAAAGTGTGCTGCGTCATCAGAACACGTTTTTCTTAAAGCGCGGAAACTTACCATCTCTATTCGTCAATTACATTCACTGGTCACTGTGTTAGAAACCCCTACCTTGTACCTCCACTCATTGTCCACTTTATTAGAAACACTTACACTTCTACTCTCTGGATGCTGTATTAGAAACACCTACTTTGTACATCCACTCACTGGCCACTTTATTAGAAACACATACTGTGTACTTACACTCACCGTCCACTTTATTAGAAACACCTATCTTGTACTCCCACTCACTGACCACTTTATTAGAAACATCTACCTTGTACTTCTACTCACTGGCCAATTTGTTAGAAACACCTACATTGTAGTTCCACTCATTTGCCACTTTATTAGAAACACCCACCATGTACTTCTACTCACTGGCCACTTTATTATAAACACTTACCTTGTACTTCCACTCATTGGCCACTTTATTAGAAACACCTACATTGTAGTTCTACTCACTGGCCACTTTATTAGAAACACCTACCTTATACTTCCACTCATTGACCACTTTATTAGAAACACCTACCTTGTACTTCTACTCACTGGCCACTTTATTAGAAACACCTACCTTGTACTTCTACTCACTGGCCACTTTATTAGAAACACCTACCTTGTACTCCCACTCACTGGCCAATTTGTTAGAAACACCTACCTTGTAGTTCTACTCACTGGCCACTTTATTAGAAACACTACCTTGTACTTCCACTCATTGACCCATCTCTGGTCAGTTTCTGACCATAGGACTGTTACTGTCTAGATATCCAGCCAAGTGTGGCTTTGTGGTCAGAAACTGACCAGGTACACCCCATCATGACAATGATGGCAGAGGCCTCTTTCAGCAGGATAATGCGCTCTGACACAGTGCACACATTGTTCAGAAATGGTTTGTGGAATGTGATGAAGAATTCAAGCTGTTGCCCTGGTCTCTAAATTCCCCAGATCTCAATCCATCTGTAGGGTCTTATAGGACTTAAAGGATCTGATTCTAACTTCCACAGGGCACCTTCAGAGAGTCCATGCCTTGGCGGGTCGGGGCTGTTTTGGTGGCATACAGAGGACCAATAGCATATTAATGTTTTGGCTTATTAGGGTAAGTCACTAATTTTAGCTGTAGGTTTGAAGTTACCATATACATTATAGTTTCCAGTCTTACTTTAAAGGATGTTTATCATTGAAGTATTGACTTTGCTAAAATATGCTAGATGCAGGGTTGGGATGTAGCAGAATATGTATTCAGAGTAGAGAAATGAAATATCTATATTCAAGCTATGTTACATTTTGACAGTATTTATCTTCATAATTAACACACTGTAAAGACGAACCCTAAAAACAGTTCCTCCTAAAGCCTGAGTACACTGATAAATCATCAGTGTGATGAGCCAGTTATTTATCTCAACGTTACTGAGCTCTTTTGAGGGATAACTTAGCTAAACAGTCTCCTCAGTAGTGGACATGTTCAAGAGTGATAAGTGTGGCATCTGTGTTGTGCTGGACTCAAGCTTGGAGGATTTTGTGAGCAGCAGTTGACAACTTAATTCAAGCAAATTTTTAATGAATGCCATTAACCAGCAATAGCGACGAACAGTATGAGTTAATAAAACTGACAACAGCAGAGGTTTTATAGTATGTCTTATTAAGATGTGTTCCAATTGTATTAGATTTTTATGTGTATTTTAATAGAATATATTCCTAGAGACATTTAGGACAGTGTATTCAGTGCTCCGCCTTCACTACTTTTTCAAAATCAAACTCTATCTAGATGTAGATTATTAATCCACATGGACTGAGAGGGCTAAGAAGTATAGATGAGGGTTAACTGAACTCTGCCCAGCACCAGACTCAGCCCAGACTGTAGCCTTAATGGAGCCCACCTGCTTTCACTTCCTTGCGTGAAGCTTTTGCACCTTTGTGCTGCCCCTGTGTGTCGTTGGCTCTGCTCTGATCCACTAAAAAGCTCAGGGCAGTTATCACTTCACTTTAATTGCTTTTAAACCCAGTGACACAGTGTTATTGCGCTAGGCCTGAGGGTTGGACCCTCATGACTTCTGTGATCATTCTGGTGATATCAACTTTATGTGGCAGCAAAAAGGGATAAATGATCATGTAACTGGAGGATGAAGTGTGCGTTTGTGATTTGTCCACAAGAGGGAGGCGTTGGCTCTTTTAATGCAAAGGCCAACACATGGCCCACCAGTTGTCCTCAAGGGTTTAACTTCAAAAAAGGATATTCAGCTCTTTGAGAAGAGACACATATTGTGCACTTTAGTAAGAGAACTATTAATGCTCTATATGACTTTGTATAAAAACTGAAACATATTAAAGCTGCTTGTGTTCTTAATAAGCATGCATAGTCTTTTTCTTCTATATATTTACATGATGATTTTTGTCACTTCTTAAGTCTGAAACAGTCTAAAGTGCAGACTTAAACCTGTTGTTGCAGAATGTAATTAAAATATAACTGTAATACTTATGTAACTATGTAATTAATCATATTTTTATTATATAATTACGTTTAAAAGGCCACTCTGGCCAAAGAAAAACTTAAGCATCACTATATCTACTGCATGCCTGTTCACCTCCTAGGGTGGTGCCAAATTGAAGTGAGATTTTAAAAGTTCAACCCCTTAACAAGCCAACTTTTATTACACACCTCTATAACCTAAGAATAGCCCCATTGGTTTCAACTGGTCCCTGTAGTTACTAAATAATAAGCCTTTGTATAAAATAAACCTGAATTGTTAAGGGGTTAAAGACTAGAACACCCTTCTGATGATGTATCTTGAAGGTTTGAGGAACTTTATAAAAAAACTAAGTCCTTTGGGGTGGATGCTTGAGGGTGGGATGTTTAATTTTAATATCAATATAATATCAATATAATTTATGGAATATTTATTTATTAGCTGCTATGCTAGCAGTCAGGATTTCTTTATCATCGTGGGTTGGAGGTGGGGGATTCCCAATTGTTGCAAGACATATTTGTGCAATGCATGCTGGGTATTGTAGTGAAAGAACACTGATGCCTGAAAAAGGCCCAAACTAAGTTGTGAAAATTGCCCATTTTAAATGAATTGTCTTTGTAATATTCTATAAACAGACACGTCTATGTATACATGCCTACAGCAGTTTAGCTCCACCCATTCACACTGAAGCTATAAGGAGTGTTTCAAGCTGGACTGCTTGTGAATCTGGCAGCCAATCAGAACAGAGCTTGTTTACTTATATCAATCTTAAAGGCACAGTGACAATGCAAAAAAAAATAGATGATGAGTTTTGGTCCCAAAAACCTGCATGAAAATCATGAGGAAGCATTAGAGATAAAAATAAAATCCAGGATAAGGGGTTTAACTAATAGCACAGCTTTGCCTTGTGCTTATATAGAGTTTCTGTGGTGAAAACCGTTAGTCATAGTTATTAACTGACAACTTTATTATAACATATGACCTGCTGTGACAAACTGAGAGTGGACGAGAGTGCATTAAAGCCAGCTAATAAGCTCTCCTCATTGACGGTCCACTATCTTCCTGGTCAATAACGTTAACAGCGCTGGCCCTTGAGGGTAGAGACAGAGCAACAGAAGCAGACAAACAGCCATTCATCACGTTGCTTTATTATGAGCAAAAAAAGATCCATTACATGCTAAACATAGGCAGCTGCTTTCTTCTGAAGCACCTTCAGCACAGAGAGAGAGAGAGAGAGAGGGGTAGAGAGTGCTTTGCTGGAAGCCAGTGACGCAACGGAGAAGAGAAAATGAGCTCCTATAGCATTGATCTGAACAAGGCTTCTGCTGAGGGCAGTGGAAAAAAAGCCTAAAGAGCCGTCCGACTGCACTGAACGTCTGAGTGAGCTGATTGGTTCCTGTAGCTATTCTTTCCTGGACAGAATGGACCAGCCATCTACAGAGTGGTGGGTTCGCTATTGTTATGCTAAATATACATTATTGCAGACTTACAGTCTTTCCCAGAGCCTTGTGGGTAGATA